CAGCCGGTCTGTATGTGGGATCCGAACCCTCGGTGGGAGCACCGCCGCGCTCCCAAGCGGCGCACTGTAGCAGTGCGCTACCGGGCCGGCCCGAAAACCCAAATCTTAAACTAAAGATTAAAATATAAATATATGTGTGTATATATATGTATACACATATATTTACACACACACACACACACACACACACACCCTCAACAAATACCCACAGGCAATTGACAAAGTCAAAGAAGCTATGGGCTGGAGGGAGGCATCCTGTAAATGAAAGAACTATATAACCTATGACAACAGGAAAGCCAACAGAACATATTGTCAGGTGACAATGCAAAAGAAGATAGTTTAAGAAATAATTTCAGGAATACCATAAGGAACTTCAAAATATATAGTTCTTTACAACTGGCATTAAAGGTGAAAATAGCTGGGAAATGAATGGAATTACTTGATTTAGACAACCCAGAGAAGAGACTGTTAAGGAGGGAAAAAGGATCAGTTTGTGCCCTGCTCCTCAATCTCATTCTCTTTCTTCCACTTCACCATTTCCCCATTTTTGATGTTTCTGTGATGTCAACACAATATGGATATGATGTTTGTGTATTTGTTTGTATGTATAAAATCAAATATAAAAAAATTGTCATATTTTTGGATAATTTATACAACTACAGTTAACTTTTCATTGTTTTAAATACTTTAGCCACAAAATTAAGTTTCTTTTTACTTGTTTGTGGCCTTTGATTCCCTCCCACCCCACCATGTGAAGAGGGAAAGAAGTTTCTACTGCTACCCTAGATCTCTCATAAATTTATTGTCTATGTCTGCCCACATATGAAATCCATGATCATTCTGGATTTAATATATATATATAATGTATACATAATACATTGAGAGATTACATTTATATTTACAATGCCAATGGAAATCGTAGACTAGTCTTTATTTGAAAAGCTAATATCCTGAGAAAATGCATGGAGAGAACATAACATTAATAATAAAGAAAAATAAAAGCTTTGTTTGGCATTGATCATTCAGTGACAGAACAATAAGGTTCCTCATGAAAATTATATGCTAGAAGAATTCAGAGAGAATCAGAAGCTCTCTTCACAAGCCACTAGAATCTCACTTCCCATCTCTCAGTGCCCTCTATCCTTCTCCTTCCCATTCTTTCCTCCCAGCCTCCAAGTTAGTGAAACCCTTTTCCCCCTGTGCAATTCCCTTATAATTCATCTTACCTAAGTCTGTGGCTCTTCAAGATGGAAAACTGATAACTAAACAAATATATGACAAATCACATCCCTGCCTTCAGGTCCCACTTGGAAGAAAGCATAGGAAGACTAACTTCTAGAAAATACAGTCTATCCTCCTTATTCACGGATCTGTATTTGTGAATTCACCTACTTGCTAAAATTTATTTATAACCTCAAAATCAATACTCATGGCACTTCCCTAGTCATCTACAGACAAGTGCAGAGCTGTGAAAATTTGAGGTGTATGATGTGCATACTCCCAGTTGAGGTGGAAAAGACAATGCTCTGCCTTCTTGTTTCAGCTCTCATACCTTAACAAGTGTCATTTTCATGGTCTCTTTAGTACCACATTTTTTGCATTTCTGTTGGTCCTTTTACTGTTTAAAATGGCCTCCATGTGTACCACTGACATGCTGTGTAGTGTTTCTAAGTGCAAAAAGGCTGTGATGTGCCTACAGAGAAAACACACGTGTTAGATAGGCTTCATTCAGGCGTGAGTTATTGTGCGGTTGGCTGTGAGTTCAATGTTAATGAATCAACGATATATATTAAATAAGCTGTCCTCAAATAGGATAAAATAAGGTTATGTATTGATTGGTTGATGAAAATATTGTGACCAGAGGGTCACATGACCTTAACCCTGTATTTCCCCTAGAAGTAATGGCTCAGTGTTTGCTAACTTAGTGTTGTTGGTGGCTTTACAGAATGTAACCACCACGAATAATGAGAATCATTGTATTTACGTGTGCATATAATAAAGTTTAACTTCCTCACTCTACCATTCTAATGCTCTAATTTCAGAGTGAGGAAGCAAGCAAAACAAAGTTTTTATTTAGTCTTGCTGTATTCAGGTAGACGTCTTCAGAGTTTGTTCTCAAACTCTATAATTACATCCACAGTGTTTGATCTATACTTTCAGGTTTTATAAAAAGTCTACATAAAAAAATATCTACCAGCAGCATTCAATCTGGTAGAACTTAAAGCAATACCAAAGGAGTATATTCTAAAAATATTTCTTATTTAATACTTGCCTGCTTTATAACTGACCACATATCTCCACACCCTTTGCTTTACATGCTGATACAGTACAGGGTGGTATCTTTTGCTATCTAATGAAAAAACACTCTTCTTATCTAATATTTGTCCAATTAAATTTAGCTAACTTAAATAGCTCATGCTACAGAATTATATAAAAATGGTAATATTTGGATTAGCAAGACCCTCTTCTTTTTGAGGTTTATAGAAGCTATCAAATAACATACTTAAAGTCAAAGTGATAAAAAACAAGGATTGAAAAAAAAAATACCCATAAAGATTTTAAACCTAACCTAGGACAATAATTTTAAATCTTTTAAAAAACGTATGCCTATTAATTCAAATACCATCAATAGTGTTCCTTAAATTGCAATGTATTTGTGATTAAGACATCTGATGAAGAGAAATTCAATGGCCTGGTCTGCTAAGATACCAAAGCTGACACTTCACATTTACCTTTTTTAATGCTTTTACTAAATCTGCATAATCGCCAGCTTCCAGTTTGGGATTTTTCACTAGTACTTCTACAGCTTCCAGGGCCTCTTTTCTCTCTTGCCATTTTTTTGCCTCCTGCAAGACATGATATGGTTCATTTGTAGAACAGAAAATAAGAAAGCAGAATAAAAGTCTATTTTTTTCACTCTACTAATTCAAAGGTATACAATTTGTTTGCTTTCAGAAACTTCTCCTAAAGTTAGTTAAAAAAAAAAACAAAACTGCAAAACTGTGCAGCCAATCAGAACATTTTGTTCCTATATATACATTTTTGTTCAAACACAAAAAGTATTTTTCGTAAGATTTCATAACCCTAAAGTAATATAATAAGTAAACAGAATGCCATAGACGTTTCCTTTTCATTTTCTAGGCAATGGTAGTAAACAGGTGTCAAACAGAAAACACTGACAGAAAGCATTTCTAGGCAATCTCACAGTGGCAATTATAGGAGAGGAATTTCTATACTGACAGCATCAAAAAGACCAGAAAATAATAATCACATAACCAACAACCCAAATTGTTCTAATCTCAGAGCGAAGTTTTCCAGATTGTGGATATAATGTAAATTCTTTTTTCTTTTGGGGCCATAAAGGAGAATATACTTCACTAGAGATCAAATAATCACTCAATGATTTAAATACTTAATATTTGAAAAGACTAGGGATACAAAGAAGATGATAAACTCACCACCCTGGAGGAGATTACAGTTCAATTCAATTTATCAAACATTTATTTGTTAATCAGAAATTAATACAATATTTAGGGCTGGCCCATGGCTCACTTGGGAGAGTGTGGGGTTGATAACCCCAAGGCCACGGGTTCAGATCCCTATATAGGGATGGCCGGTTAGCTCACTTGGGAGAGTGTGGTGCTGATAACACCAAGTCAAGGGTTAAGATCCCCTTACCGGTCATTTAAAAAAAAAAAAAAAAAAGACAGAAATTAATAGGATTCTCAAGTTGCAGACAGCAGAGCTAGGAAAATCTTCAATAAATAACTACTAGGTCTTGACCACTATGAAGGGAAAAGTATAAACTGCTATAATAATACAGCAAAAGGACTTAGACAGAAATTAATAGGATTCTCAAGTTGCAGACAGCAGAGCTAGGAAAATCTTCAATAAATAACTACCAGGTCTTGACCACTATGAAGGGAAAAGTATAAACTGCTATAATAATACAGCAAAAGGACTTAATCTAGTTTAGGCAGTTGGGTAGGATATCCCCTAAAAAGAGATGCGTAATGTGAAATCTAGAGGATAAAGAGGTATTAATAGGTGAATGGTAGAAGAAGAATGTTATAGGCAGAAAGAACACGAAAAACCTAGAGTTAAAAAAAAAAAAAAAGCACATTTCCTACTGGGAGAAGTACAGTATGGCTGGAGCATGAAGAATAAGGGCAATTAGAGATGTGACTTGAAGGTAAGTGGGGGCTCTTAAGACCCATGAAAGCCAATGAAGGGTTTTTGTTTTAGTTTTTTGCGGCTAGCCAGTAAGCAGATCTGATCCCTTGACCTTGGTGTTATAACAATGCACTCTAACCAACTAAGCTAACTGCCAGCCCCACTGAAGGGTCTTAATTGGGTTTTAATATGGGAAGAGTTGCATTTTCAAAAATGACACCTTTAATTACACTGTGAAGTATGATGGGAAGGAGGCAAAAGCAGAGACAGGGAGTCTTGTAAGAAAACTACTATAGCATATAAGGCAAGAGATGATAGTAGTAGCTCCGATAAGATCGTGTTTCTCAACTGGGGAGAATTTTGTCTCCTAGGGGACAACTGGCAGTGTCTGGAGACATTTTTGATTGTCATCACTTAGGGGGATGGTATTTACTAACATCAAGTGGGTAAAAGCCACATCCTACACTGCACAGGATGGCCTCACCTAAACAAAGAACTATCTGGCAAAAAATGTCTACAGTGCCAAGATCAAGAAACCCTGAAGTAAAATAGTGGCAGTGGGGATGGAGAAAAGGAGATAAATTTGAGAGATATTTAAAGGTAAAACCAGAGAGAAAATGAGGAAAAGGAAGTCAAGAATAATGTTTTGGATTTTTGGCAAGACATGTAAAGAAAAAAAAGTGTGACAATAGGTGTATATACAAAGTCTATGGGCGCAAAGAGGATGAAGCAACTAACTCACTGTATTAAGGAAAATATGAGGGTGGAAGGGGGTATACCAGGCAAGGGCTCAGCAGAGCATTCTCTAAATCTATTCAAGTAATTATTTTAAAAGAAATAAAAGAAATTTAACCATTACTTACAATTTTGTCATAAAAGTCTTTGGGAAGTTTGGAAAGGATTTCTACTGCTTCCAAAAGCTCATAAGCATCTATCTGTGGCATCTCATCGCCATCATCACCACCTTCAAAGAGAAAAAACAAACCTTAAAAATGAATGGTTTTACTTATTGAACAGTTATCAGTCCTTTCATATCCCTGATGAAATCTTAATACGGAAGGGATCAGAGTTGTTAATGCTATATCCAATTTATATTTTATTAAAGGCAGTCCTACAAAATATGCCTATTTAACATAGATTCTTAGGGCAGTGCCAATTCTAGCTAATTTTTATAGAGACCAGTGTTTAAAATCGGCTTACCTCCCTCAGCATCTCCACCAGCAGAATGTTGCTGTTCCAATTTAGCTTCTAGTTCTTGTTGGGAACGCAGAAACCGAGTTGGTCTAGGAGCACCTGTTGGCAGTTTGACCCACTCTTCTTCTAGTTCTTTCAACTGCAAATATCATAAAATATTTAAAAACATATCTACATCCCTGCCATTAGAGAACACACTTAATATTTATATTTACTGATACATTGGGATCCAATTTCTTATTTATGTGGCTCTAATAAGGCAAATAAGAAAAGATAAATTTAATTGTATATACTTTGTAATATAGGTCAAATAGACTTATATATACTACACTAAGAAAGAAGAATAAATTCATTTTTTAGGATACTCTCATTAGTTCATGAATTCGTATAAATTTCCATCTTTGGAAAAATCTCTAAAATGAATTGTAATAAAAAGACAATGCATTCACCCAAACAGATATTAAGTCCTGCCACACAACAGAATTATAAAGGGATCTTTTAAACTGCTATAGATCTAACACTAGCATGGTATTTAACTTGAATGGACAAAGTAACGGCAGAGAGTTAGCTATACTCAGAAAAAAATAACTAATTTCAAAATTGAGAATGAAAAATAATTGAGTAAGGACAGAATATCAATGACAATGAAAGAAAGAAAACACCTTCATATTAACCTTATGCAAAGGCAACCAGAAAACTTTGTACCTCACCTGGACAGAGTTTATATTTTGTAATGGGGGTCTCAGAGCATCCCGAATCCATCTGTAAATCTCCACAGCAATTAGTTTGGCTTCATCTCGAACAGCCTTCTCTCGAGACTCAAAGAGTTTTGGCAACACTTTGATAATTGGCTTAAGCAAGATGATTTTGGAACCAAATTCACTAAAAGTAAAAATTGGTGGAAAAACTGTCAGTATGCAATGTGCTTGGGTAAAGTGTTAGCTTTCATTCATTCAAACGTAGTGCCATACCTATATACTAATAGTTATATAAGTATTTTTAAGGCAGAAAAAGAAAAGGAACTCATAACCATGTACATATCTAGGTGTCATTCTTCCAAGGATATTATATAATGTCTAGGGCCCAAAGTAATATTACCATTTTAAAACTAACTTTCTATGTAATCAAACTAGGAATAATTCAAACCAATAAAGAACCAAAACGTGTAATATCTTAAATATACAAGTATGTACATATAAAAGCTTAAAAATGTAAACAATTAGTTTATAAATATTTAGATGAGGAAACTTTACTTTTAATAGTTCCTATAATTAAGGTGATCATTCAACTAGGTAGATCATGAATTCTGGTGATGTGTGTTTCATTCCTGACTTCACAGCTATCACACTGTAACTGAGCAACTTAAATCTCTCTTTGCTTTAGTTTTCCATTGGGAAAACAAATGCATTCTGACTTCCTTTAAAAAGATAACATGTCTTATACATCTGTTAGGTATTATATTTTCGAGTTTCCAACTGGCCAATTTTAGCTATCTGATGTCACTGCTAACATTTCTGCATAACAAATTCTGGAGCAGAAGGGATTTAGTTATGAAAGAACACTGAAATTCCGTATAAGTAGTAGTACCCCCAATACAAAGGTACTTAATACAAATATTTCCATGAAGTTTTTGAAGTATCCTCATATATTATTTATCTATTATCTAATATGCACAAATGTATCTCATGTATACAAATGCAACAAAATTATTCAGTAATAGCTAATGACATACTCAAACAGATTAAAGAAGGAAATGGTGAAAATACTTTCCCTAGAAAGGGATTTTTAACAAAACATCTGGCTGTGTGATATAGTTTAGGTACAGATATCATAACATGAAAATAAACTAGATTAGATGACTTCTAAGTTTTCCTTTAAAATGCCCTTTATATTAGAAAAGAACATTTTAACGTGGCTCAGCTGAGGTAAAAAAAGAATTATGGTGATGATAAACCATTTTGTTTTAGGGATATTTAACATGGTCCCTGACAGATCTAACATTTGAGACCTCTTAAATCTTCCTTTATATTACTACTGTTTCACCTGATTCTTTTTTGTTTCTCTATCCTGGACTACCTCTGAAAGATAGAAAAAAATAGATGGAGTAAGTCCACACAGAAAATAGACATCTTAAAAAAATAAAACCTAATCTTGATACTAAAAATTTTACTAGAAGACTATTCTAGGGATGATTTTGATCATCTGAAGCTGTTACTAACAAAGATAGCTTTAGGAGGTTCTAGAACCTAGAACTAAGCAGTTTGGCCTCAAGATTCTCGAGGGTCCCAGAGAGCTACCTAGTTCCACTATAGATTCTGAAAAGCTTTAGGACAAATAACCATACAGGGATGTGACTAAATTACAACATCTATAAGGAAGACATAAGAAGATATACCTAACTTGTTCTTTGCTACCTGTATTCCCCCAGTCAGCTTAGCAATGAAATAACCAGAGTTTAAACCATTCCAGAGTAGAAACTTCTAATTTAAAGGTAGAAGATTATAGTATATATTTTTATTAAGACATTATCAAGGACAGAACAGATCTGCTGAGCAAGCACATTCCTATTAACTGAGACAAGTTGTTAAATTTCTATGATAGAATGAGTACGCTATTTACTATTCATAAAAACATCTGCCTATTATATGATAATAGGCTAGAAACAAGGAAAAACTACCACACAAGAATCTGAGTGACAAATTGTATTTAAAAAGTTATGAACCAAAAGAAAGACAATATAAAAGTTTAGACTTATAAAGCAAAGATAGTTGAACAAAATTCAGGAATTCCGATAACTTTCACATAAGCTAAACACCAAAGGAAGCATTTTCCCTAAGATGTAGGTCATACACAAAACCACAGAAGAGTTGAGATGATCTTCACTCCATTAGGATTTCACTAGAGCTGCTTTCTAAAGTATCTCATGAGGATAGTATTCAGAACAGGATATCACATTAGAAGGACTGCCAAATCAGAACAAACTAGTGATTTGTGTAATTCAGATTTCTACAGCAAATTATAGCTACTTTTTCCTGAAAGAGACCCCATTCATAAAAAACTTCATTGCCAAACAACAATAAATTCTAGGGGTGAAAATAACTTTTATTCTTATGTAATAAGTTATTTTCAGTTTGCTGTTGCTATGCTTCTGTTTAAAGGCATATAGCATTTGCTTTTACTTTACTAAAAAGGTATCTAAATAAAGGTTTGCTTTAGCCAACAAACTATGTCTTTAGCCAACATTTCAAAATACGTAAGTCTATACTTGAATACAGCAAGAGAAAAAGAGCTACTTAAATAACTTAAGGAGTGCTTTTCCATCAAAAGTCCAATTCTTAAGATGAGAACAGATCAAAAATATCCCTCACTCTTATCATTAGAAAGGATTTAGATAAAATAGCTATGAAACACACTTGAAAGCAAAAATTACTCAATACAAAGTGCCACACTTGAGAAATGACTATATCTTTTCCAGGTCACTTTCCTCATTGTTGTGGCATGTCAAGTCAAGTTCAGCAGTTTCCATTTCTGTTTAAACCAGGAACCCCACACTCAATTGAGAAACTCTAGTTAACAGAACTAAAGCAAAAAAGAAAAGGTCTTACCTTAAGGCTTTCCTCAATGTCTCTATGCAGGCCACGATGATCTTGGGGTTCTTATTGTCCAGGCCTTTTAGGAGCTCTTCTTGCACAGCCTCTCCTTTCTCAATCTCTATGTACATGAGACAAATCTCTATGCCTAGCTCCTTGGCTTTGGCTTTAGGTTGGTTGAACACTTTACTTACAACACCAGATACAACCTCTCCTGTGGTTCTGTAATACAGATTGTAAATAACAGTAACCACACACAAAAACCACACTTTTGTAGAGAGTTGGAAAAAGTTCATGAAAAGGGGCATATAAGTACTTTCACAAATGCTCTGAAATAAAGTAAAAGAGTCTCTAATTTTTTAACTTAACGTTCAAGAACTTTAAAGAAAAAAAAACTTATACAAATCATAAAAGTTTAAGACATCACACCAGACATAGTTTCATTTTATAAATGTGGAAAATCCAAACAAGAAAGCAAAATCCCACCACCCAGAGAAAACTACTACTTTCAACTTGTTGATATCCATCCTTCCAGACCTTTCCCTAAGTGTGTGTGTCATATAAATCACACAATCTATATATATACAGATATATGGATATTTAAATATATTTTTACAAAAACAGGATTACAGAGTGCTTGCTTTTTTTTTTTTCCTTTTTGTCTTTTTCCGTGTCCGGCAATGGATCGCAACCCTCAGTGTTGCCCCAATACCGGACCGGGACCGGCAACGGGATCGCAACCCACGGTGTTGCTCCCGCGCCTCGCTCAGCC